CCCAATTTTCAGTTAAAAAAAGTAACCCCAAATCCACATATATTAGTGGTGTTTCATTTAATTAAATTATGGAAAAATGTGGATTGGGGGTTACTTTTGTTAAACTGAAAATTGTGGATTTTTTTTTAAATCAGGGAAAATCAGGTTCCCTGCTAAAGATGCAGGTAGGTGCTAGTGGGATTTAACAAAGTGCCTAAACACATCAAGCATCTAGCTCCCATTCACTTTCCATTGCATTCCTATCTGCTCATATACCTCTGTAAACCTGATGAGACATCTAGTTACATCTCTGGCTTCTAAATACCTTTGTTTGAACCAATTCGTTGCCCAAGGAGCTGTAGCTCCACAGGAACTGCAAACTGTGTGTATGTTCTGGTTTAAATCTGTCCCATGTCCTATTGGTACCTGGGCCTTTCCCTGTCCTCTGCCATGTACTGTATTGACTTGTTTGCTTGTGTGTGGCCAGTGGAGTCAAGTTCCTTCCTGCACAGAATTATCATGACTGACTCACTTTTTTTTCAAAAGAAAACACAATGATTTAATTCCCGCCATTTCTATTTTTGCAATATGTCGATGAACATGACAGTTGATATTTTTAAAATAAGTTGGTGTTTTGACTTTATTATTATGCTGTTTGCTACCATGATCTTAAATAATTACCATGGAGCAAAAGATACCAAGTGGAACAACATAACTCTTAGCACTGTCAAACCTAAAAACGTAATAACTATTTTTCTAAAACTGGAAATTACAGTATCCCAACTTACAACAGTTTCTTCATCATAGATTTGTAGTGAAGATCTATATCAAAGGCAGGTTGGGAGCCAGCATCAAGTCCTGTTGCCACCTATGATGTCTTGGAAAATAGCAGGTGTAGGGAATTATGTCCCACTTCATTAAATTACCATAATCACTAAGGGCAGAATACTATTTCTTTTCTGTCTCACTGGTCACATACCTGCCCAGTCAATGCATAGCCTACTGACCATGTTCAGTGGCCATGGAGATGCTTACATGTCCATACCACATGGGGTAGTAGATTCACTAACTGGGCATAAGAGCCAAAAATGTCACTTATGTGGCTAGAAAACTGTCCTTTGGGTATGTGAAGTGAAATAGAATTCTGCCCTAAGTTGTCTAATTTCTAAAAGGAAAAAGTACGTGCTTAAAACCAATAAATCGAATACACTAGAAACCTAACCAAATATTCTGTTTCCTAGATCGCATGTATGGAACATGTGAGATAGACTGGGCAAAAGCCAGTTTTTCTACTATCTACAAGTCCTACATTGTGTCCATTTTTATCTGTTGTTTCTTCTTACCTGTGACCATCATGCTCTTCTCTTATGTGTCCATCATCAACACTGTAAAGTCAAACCACACGCTGAGTGGAATGACTGACCCAACAGACAGACAGAGGCGACTAGAGCGAAATGTCACTAGGGTAAGTTGCAACATCTACTCTCTGTGTAGTACACCAGAAAAGAAAATAGATCCGGCACTCAATGTCCCTGTGTGGTTTAAGAAACAGTTAATATTCAATGAAGGAAATAAAAACTTGTTATTAAATTGGAATAAAATGAAAGGGGGAAAAATGACACACTGTCCGATGAAAATATGGAGAAAGGGAAACTGAAATACCGTATTTGTAGGTTGCCAAAACTATGTGGGCCTCACTTTGCTAGTATTTGAAATTCCTTACTTGGTCCCTTCATCTGAGAGGCAATTTGGCAAACTAAAGCTAAATATAACAAGACCTGTCCTGAACAAATCAAAAGAAAACATTGCAGTGTGTTCTTTTCAGAGGCACCCTAATGACGGGATTTTAAAAAAAAATGTTCAGAATTAACCTAACTCCAGTTTAATTTATGTTAATAATTTTACTAAAAGCTGAGGGCTTTCAAAATCCCCTCATTAATTGCATTGAACCAAGACAAAGTAAGAATCAGGGATGGATCCAGATGTGGTGCAGTGATTGCACCCTTCTTTCAGACCATGCTGTGGGAGCAGCAGCCAGAGACTTTTTAAGTCCCCAAATCAGGAAAGACTCTTCCCTCCTCCCCTTCCCGCATTGTTCAACAGCAGGATCCCCACCCCTGTGCACACCTGCCATTTCCCCTCACTGACCCAGTGACTTGAGGGTACTCCAGAGCTGCGCCTGCCCCACTCCAGCCAGATTGTGCAGGGGCCCAGGCTCAGCCCAGAACAACAGCAGCAATAAGAGCAGGCAGGCGGGTTCCTCTAACCTGCCTGGTCTTCCTGAGTGTTCCCCACCAACCCAAGAGCAGGTTGAGGAGAAGGAACCTGCTCGCTGCCATCACCAGTCAGTGCTGCTGCTGAGGCTGGCTCCCCATGCAGCCCAGCTGGAGTGGGGCAGGAGCAATGCTGGAGCCCCTCCTGCCCCGAATCAGCTGGAGACAGGGTGTGGCAGGTGAGTGAGTGGGGAATGGGAGAGAAGGGGGCATGCTGCTGAGCATGGGGGGATAACTAGAGTTGTGGAGGGGAGCTGGGAATCTTACCTGATTTGGAGACTTTAAAAAGCAAAAGCTGGGAGCTGAGCAGCACTGGAACTGGGGAGCTCTCTGCTTTCCCATGCAGCTGGGGGCTGGCTGGGAGCTCTCCCCTTTCTGGGGCAGCTCCTGATGAGCACTCAGCTGATGAGCGCCCAGTGTAGCCTGGGGCTGACCAGCAGCTGTCCCACTTTTGGGGCAACTCCCCACTAGCTTGTGGCTAGCAAGGGAAATACCATGACCACTGAGGGGGTTTTCCTAGTTGCAGGGGAAAACCACTTTTCTGTCAGGAGGTAGTATTCTGGCTCAGGTAACGCCTCCCACTTTCACTTCCAATGGAAAGCTCTTGGCTATATGCCGACTTTATGGAAATGGGAGACTCTTCCCTAGCTTGCTTCTGAGAGCAAGCAAAACTCGGGAGCATCCAAACCCCAAGCCTCTGGGCTGGGGCCTACACATAAGATACCTGTCAAAGGATTTGGAAGCATCTGAAGCCCCAGGGAAGGGTGGAGGATGTTTGCTGGTAGGAGGGCCATGTATGGTTCTTGAATGACTCACAGATTTGGAATTGATTTGGCT